AAAATAAATCAGAGCTAAAAAAGTGCAAAAACGCAGGCAAATTTGCCTGCGTTCTACTACAATCTAAGGGATAATATGGTTGATTCATATAGTTATTTAACAAAAATTAAAAATTTGACAATAAATCTATATATATATGTAGTAGAGTTGTCCATCACATAGAATGCGTTCCTTATGGTACGGTGTAACCGAAGTGCATAAATAGCATAAAGTACTATTTATAAAGAAAATGAAGTTTGTACGACTTAATTTATACGTTCCTTATGGTACGGTGTAATAATTGTGTATATCCATATGTTCCTATATATCATATGAGGTCATGTGACTAGGTAGTACAAAACAAGGGCACATGATTTTTTGTATATTGTATTTATATATTACTTTCGCAAGATTTTAAGTTACATGCTGCAGAGTTACATGATTTGTATAACTTAAATCTGCAAATAGGTTACATAAAGTGCATACAAGTAGTATACGTAAAAATAAAAATTGTTACACAAAACTTATTTTATATAACGTTATACAAACTATTCAAACTCAGTTTTTTATAATTTATTTTAATTTTAATAGATACAAGACTAACTCAGGTATATAATATTAAAATATGTAAAAAAATTTAATACAGGTATATAAGATTGAAACGGGTTTTAAATCGGGTATATAAGATTGAAATGAGTTCTAAATCGGGTATATAAGATTGAAACGGGTTCTAAATTGAGTATATAAGATTGAAACGGGTTCTAAATCGGGTATATAAAATTGAAACGGGTTCTAAATTGGGTATATAAGATTGAAACGGGTTCTAAATCGGGTATATAAGATTGAAATGGGTTCTAACTCAGGTATTAAAAATGCAAACAGATTCTAAACTTGGATATTTAAAAATATAAATAGATTCTAAACTCAGGTAGTTAATAAAATAAATGAGTTCCTTTGAAGATTAAAAAAAAAATAAAATAAAATAAATGAGTTCTAAACTTATATATTTAAAATACAAATGGGTTTTAAACTCAGATATTTAAGAATCTAAACAGGTTTTAAACTTGGATATTTATATTACAAACAGGTTTTAAATTTGATTATTTAAAAAATATTTAAGAATACAAATGGGTTTTAAACTTGGGAATTTAAAATGCAAATAAGTTCTAAACTCGAGTATTTATAGGTTTTATCTAATTTTAACTTGAATATATACTTGGATACCTTTTATTTTAAGAAACCGTTGCAAGGCAACAGAAGCAAACCTAGAATTTGGGTATTTTAAACTTGGGTATTTATAAATACAAACAGTTTCTAAATTCAGATATTTAAAAATACAAATATGTTTTAAATTCAGATGTTTAATAATATAAACGGGTTCTCATATATCACTCTTTCCGCTGATCCTCAATTCCAAAATTGGCAAATCGAGTACTTGCATTCTAATATATACAAATATATATATTACATATATTACTGCAAATACAATAAAAATCTTTGTCTACATCTATTAGAACATTTGTATTAAACCCTTGTTCTAATTTAACATCTATCGTCTAATTTAAACAATACAAGACAATTAGCAATCAAATTCATGCAAAAGGCATATAAATAAAGAAAATAGGTATCATAACTTACAAGAATATATCCATTATTACAAATATATTAAAGCGCTAGCATTGATTCAAAACAATATAGGAAAAATGATCTCAAATTTGACTGATATGAAGCCAAACTTTTTTACGCACTTTATTTTTAAAATTAAATTCATCATTTACTAGTTTTTTTTAACTTGCTAATAAACTAAATGTAAATACTATACCATTTGGTTATAAGGAGCTATTTAACGTTTTTATATAAAAGTTCTTCTATACAAAAAAAAATTATACTAAATATAATAACTAATATATACGATAGATTATAAATAACAAACCCTCAATTTATTAATGTCAATTTCTATATGATTAGCAATCTAAGACAACATACTTTCAACAATAAATACTGTTTGAGGATATCCAAACCCTTTAAATATTATAATATTAGATTAATAAAATACGTCAATATAAATTAATATTAAATAAAAAAATAGATAATATATCAAACATTATTAATTTGACGCATACCTTTTATAATAAGTCAGCTATATGTATTGTCCAATATTGTCCAATATATTTTGTATTAGATTTAAAATCTTTAAAATTCTTTTGTATAATAATAGTCTTAGTAATGATATTTTAAAAGTTTTTAAAATCTATCGAATAAATTCTTTGGGCAATTTTATTTGTACTAGCAAAATAGATTTTGTTCATAGTATAAGAATAATAAGATTAGAACTAAAGGTGAAAAAGTGTTTTTTACTAGTTGAATTGAAGATCGATGTACTATTTTTATATGTAATAACAATTGTAAATATATACAAAATCTTTATTACAGATTATTGATATAAAATGAACAATTAAATGCCTTATATTTGTTTGACTCTATTTCTATTAGCATTTTCTATTGTATTCATCTTTCAATCTAATTTTGTATATTATTATTTTTCTTCAATATTAATGTCTTAGAACATCAAATCTTACTGTAACAAACTAAAGTTTACTCTAACCGATATTGTGTAGTTTTTTTAATATAACTAGAAGTATTTGCTTGTCAAAAAAATAGTTGCCGATTTTCATGCTCCAATATTTCTAAAACTGCTGACTTCCTAGAACGCTCATGTCTACCATCCTTTAATGTATTTTGAAAATATCGACATACTTGAATATGGTTTTTTTTTCTAAAGCTGAACATGAAAAAGCCATTAATCCTAAATCTTTATGAATATCTATGAACTCAGGAATATGATAAACTAAAGAGTGCATATAGGGTGTACAATCTGTTGCTCGATATAATCCCTGTACAAAGTTTCTATTTGGGTGTCTTTGAGATGGAGTTAAAAAGTATTCAAGCCATTCAATTGCCTTTTTTTTAAAACTATTGCCACTTATTTCATTCTGATGTAAATCATTATATAATTCAGCAAATCCATCCCAAAGTTTTTTTAGTTGATTTTGTCTAATTATTGGTAAATAATGAGTGCTAATATTCTTAAAATTAAAATTATGTAAAATTTTAAGTTTGTCTGGGCCCATTAATGATATATAACATAATTTTTTCATATTTTTATTAGTCCAAAATTAGAAATTCGCCTTAATTTGTTTCATTTTCACTAATATTTCCTGCTGAATATTTTTATCCAATTCTCCATTTCGTCGTAAATCAGATAAAAATAGTTCAAAAAGTCAATCAGTAATGCAAAGCATTACATGAAAGCTCATCACACATCCAATTTTTAAGATCAATCATATCGAATAAAGGTGCTTGTTGATGTCTTTTAATTTTTGAAAAATTCTTTTTTATTTCCTCCATATTTTTAGTAATTGTCCAATCACCAACTAGTTTATTATTTTGATCAAGAATATCATTTTGCTATTTAGTACATGTGCACTACAGACAAAAATGGTTTGCATTTGCAGAATTGAAACCTAAACAGGTTGTTAAAAACTTCCAATCTGCACTAAAAAATAGTTCTACATTCTAATGCCAGCCGTTAAGTTGGTAAAATCCAGATTCTTTTATATTTCTTAGATCAGAAATTAATAAACCAAGCGTATTTTGAAGAGATTGATAATTTTCTGATCCAGAATAAAGAACAAGCGTATGATATTCTTTAGGTTTATGTAATCTTTCGGTATCATTAAGCAATATAGCTGTTATCATCACATGTTGAACCTTCCTCCCAACATTTCTTCCATCTCCAGATATACGAAGTTTAATAGTAGTATTATTTGGAATTAAAAGTCCTCTTTTTATATATTCTGGAATCATAAAATTTAAAAGATCAATTATAGAACATTGATCACCTTTTCCAACAGATTCAACTATATTATTAACTATATTAAAGTCTGTAATATGTGATTGATCTATTGTTAGTTCTGATATAGCAGATTGTTCTATATTTATAAGTGATAAAGGAATTAGATTGTTCATTTGTTCATTAAGTCTTTGACGCGTATTTGAAATTGCACCATCTCTTGGCAAATCTTGATTAATGCGTGCTAATGATCGATAAGCTTCACGAGATATTTTGCCTTTATCTAATGATTTTAAAACTGCTAAATGCAAGTCTTCTAAATCTTTTTGATTAAATTTTCCATAGTGAATTTCAAATGGTTTATTATTTACAGTAAAACGTGCTTGCTTAATTTCAACTTTATCATCATTATGAAAAATATTTTCTTTGCAATCCTTAACTTGATCAAATACACGTTTGGCTATTGTTAACATATGACGTCGTTAAGTAGAATTGCTAAGATTATTAAAAGGTTGAGCATTAAGATGAGTATTGGATGGTAATGTTTTTCTAACTTTATGAACACTATTTAATTGTAATCCAAACAAATGTATACCTGACATTTGAAGGTCCTTTTTTTTATTATCATTTTTATTAGTTATATTTGTATTTATTTCCTGTATTTCATCGCTTGTCAAAGTTCCCTTATTTTTTAATGTTTTTAAACCCTTCAATAATATTAAATTTAATACTATTAATGCTAATAAATTTTTTTTAAAAAAATTAATTGTATTCACCTTGCAGTACTTAGTTGCAACATCCAATGAAGATTTTGTTGAATAAACCATGTATTTGTCAAACTGTACTGTGAAATATGGCTTATCATTAATATACTGGATAGAACATTCTGCAATATGTTTCCTTTTTCTATATGTTGTGCGAACAATATACTGATCAGGAATAGCATATTGTTTAGGTTTTTTAGTATAAGCAAGTTGATGTAAAGGAGGATAAACTCCCTCGTTTATAATTACATAGTCCTATGATCTATGAGAACTTTTAAACACAATATAAGAGTTTTCAGGATATGTACTTATTTCGTCTCCTTTCATGAAGGTTAAATGAAAAGGTATATATGATGTACATCACACACATATATGGTAATTAATATAGCAATTAGCTAATCACATGAAACTGAGTAATGTATGACAATCTGAAAATATTTGTGTTCGTTCATCTAAATGTTTTTTTACATTGAAAATTTTGTATTAACATCTTTTTATGCAATCACCAAAATCATCCATGGCTTTATTGATATATAAGTACTATCATAATAGTATTAGGTCTGTGAAACCAAGAATGAATAAAAGGTATAGTAAGATATAAATTTATAATTTATAATCAGAGGTATGTAAAAAAATCATACCGTGCAAAGCCTTAAGGTAATTCACCCAAACCATATAATGGGTAAAATGTAAGAACTCTTTTTATAACAAGCTACAGAAGAAATATAAATAATAATTCTGTTATAATTTTCCCAAGCAGATTGGTTAATATAGCTAAACGTGTCTCCTGATAATTTTGCGCTTTAAGAATGCCATCTGAAGTTGAGGAGGATGAACCTTGATGAGAAATAAGATAGACCTATTAAGTCATAAATTTTTGTTTGACGTCACAAAATTTTGTTGGAATGTTAGCTAAATAATAATGAATAAGGATATTTAATTTTAGCTATTAAACATGAGTATGTATAAATACCTGGACAATTTTTTGAAATATTCATCATTTGAATCAGATCTACGGAGATGTTGACTAACGAGCCAAATAGCCAAAGATTTTGAAGAGCTGCAAGTAAATCATTGTGATTAATTGATATTAATTCAAATAAGTGCTATGATCAAATAAATCATCTTTATTTACCCGGGTGCCCAATAATAACAACCGGAATCTTAGGATACAAACAATCATTACCAAAGCATTTTCTAAAAGAGCCTCATTCTTTGCAGTATTAGGAGGACAAGTCATCTGATTAATATAATCATCTTGCTCTTGTCTTATAACCTTATTAAATACCTTCTCATCAACGTTAATTTTTTTGCGATTAAACGTTTTACTCATAGAGTACAATCTAGATTGACAACATAATCCTAATGCAAGAATATAACACCTTGTTGACATTAAAATTTCTCCTATTGGTGGATACTTTGGTGCATTCTTACGAACTGTGGTCGATTTTGTAAACTTCCTGCAAAAAACTTCACAAGTGTAATTGCTCTCTTTACGTCTCTTAAACTAACACTGTAAGGTTCTTCAACCTCTCGAATGAATGCTTGAGATTCGAATAATAGTTCTGCAAATACTAAACATTCATTAT